TTTAATTCTAAATATGTATATTAATATAAAATTTAGGGTCTGGTTTAAAAACTACAGAAAAAGAATTGATTGATCGTCATATAGAAGTATGAAAATTTTTTTTAAACTATATTATTATAGTTATGATTCTTAATTGTTTGTCATTACAACACACATATAAGATACATGAGATCACCAATAATATGGAATGGTATCGACCATGTGTGATGCGACACTGTATTTATATGTTGTGTTGGAATAAAATTATTGATGACAATGCATGTTCTTCTCGATACCAGATGAAGTTTTATGATTGTCAGTTCATTTTTTATTCATTATGATAACAATAAACGATATTGGTATTATGGTCATTACAACACACATATAAGATACATGAGATCACCAATAATATGGAATGGTATCGCCATGTGTGATGCAACACTGTGTTTATATGTTGGGTTGGAATGAAATTCTTGATGATAATGCGTATTCTTCTCGATACCAGATGAAGTCTTATGATTATCAATTTCATTATGGCTATTATTACAGCACATGTATAAGATACATGAGATCACCAATATATGGGATGGTATCAACCATGTGTGATGCGACACTGTATTTATACATTGTGTTGAAATGAAATTTTGATAACAATGCGTATTCTTCTCGATACCAGATGAAGTCTCACGATTGTCAGTTCATTTTTCATTTATTATAGCAATATCATATACTATATACTATAAAAAGTAACATACAAATATATATATATATATTAATTACATTTTTATATCTTTTATTACTAATAATTTAGATGGCTAAAAATATAACATACTTTGATGAATTAAGAGAATGTTCATTTATTAAATTTTCCAAATATGTCGTTTCAGCACTTAATCAAAAAATGACCGCTTACAGCAAATACTAAGAGTAAACCAGTTGTTGTGAAAAGAAATCCCAAGACAAACCAAAAAAAAAAGTGCAGTACTTCGCATAACTTTAATGAAGAGATATCGCAATCTTTACAGAGCCTTGATAATGTGTTTAGTGAATATGAAAAGTTTAAGGTAAGTTATAAAATTTATAATTGAAACTTATCAGTGGTCATTATTGCAGTACAGTCAATTCTCTCTTAGTGCAATTCGCTAGTCCAGATTTTTAGCAGCTTGTATTTAGGGAACGATTAAGAAAATTGTATTAATAGTAACGAAATATATACTTGGGCCAGAATTTTAAAGTTGTTGCAAGAAACTTTTTTTGTTAAAGATAGTTTCATAGATCATGAAATTTGATTAAACCGATAAATCAGTTATATCCCGGGCAGTTGGATAGAAACGAAATTTTTTTTGCAGTAAAGTATAACGCGGCCGATTATACTTAGTGCAAAATTCCACTTATAACCACTACCCAGGATATAATTATTACATTTTAGCCATAGTTTATATCAGGGACCTGTGGGTTTTGTGATTTGCTGCAGTCTTAAAGAATATGTACATTTAAACTGCTTTTTCCTTGGAATAGCAAAATCCACATGTTTCTAGTTTGTATCAAGAGAATACTGTATATACTTCACTATATTGGTGTACTTCACTATATTGGGAGTTCACTACACTTATAACGAAAATAATATGTAATTTCTATCTACAATGAATTAAATTTAGTCCGGGTGGACACATCTTGTTTTAGAACCATTTGAACCTTTAAATAACGATAGGTTATTTTCGACTAAACAATATTTTTTTTTCCTGGCAATATTACTTCTTCCATAAAATTTTTATTAAAATCTTAGCTTCGTAAAAGAAATTTAATATATAGTTGTATTTGATCTCACCCAAGTTTCGACTTTTTTTACTTTTTTCAAAAGAATGTCTAATCCAAATTTTATTGATTTTGGCCGTAAAATTTTAATTCTCCAGAATCATGAAGCTGGAAATTTTAAATATATTTTAATATGAAATTTTCGAAATTTTTGGGGTGCTTTTTTTTTTTTTTTTTTATAGTTAGGTTAGTTTAGGGTTAGTTTTGATAATAAAAGAGTATAGGTGGATTTTGGTAGGGTTTATATTTAAAATCGAGGTCCCTAATTTCCAGCTTCAGCCGTGACAATCATTAATATGTAAAGATTGAAAATAAAATACTTTTAATTCTGATCAATTCGGTACTTATAAAGTTTTTCTCTAATAATAACAACCTTATTCATTTGCTAACATTCATCACAAATACAGATAGAAGAGAATTCAGTCAAATGTCAATTTATCGTATAATTCAACGACATAAAAATAAAAAGGCTAAAAAGTATATTTTGTTAGAGATGCAATTCAAAGTTTTGATACTAAGGTTTGTGGTATGAGGATCCATTAATTATAATAATATAAAATATAGATAGAGGTCTTACTCGTTCAAAAAATAAGTATTCGAATATTCATTTGTTCAATTTTTTTAGTATTCGAATATTCATTCATAAATACAAACAAAACCCTGGCCATATTAATATGTTAAGGTTAAAATTAGAATTTTTGTTATATTACATGATAGATTATATTAGTAAAATTTTGAGATATTAGTATTCTTTTCAAATTTTATTATAGGAAGATGAGACTCACCCCAGTGAGAAATAAATTTACCCTTATTATAAAATTAAATTCTAATTTTAAATATATAAAATAATAAATAATTTTAAATGTATTAAAACAAATAAATAAATAAACTATATAATTTACTTGCACTAATAAAATTTTATTTTATTTGAGTTTAATATTATTAATTAATTAAAATACAAAATTAGATATAATATATATTAATATTTTATTTTATATTTTAATTTGTTAATTAAATAGTATTTTAATTAATTAATCAAATAGTATATATTCATTTTATATTCATTGAATTCATTTTATATTCATTGAATTATTTGGTGAATAATTTTTATATTCGAATATTCATTTGGTGAATCTATTATCAATTCGAATATCGAATATTCAATGAATATTCAAATATACTATTCATCGAGTTAGAGATATGATTCCGGATATTCTTTAGCAACAAAAAAAATTTTTTATCCAATTGAATTATACAAAATAAATCGTGCATGTGGCATGAAATTTTGAATTGGCATGCCAGATGGCATGCCGAATTTTTTTATCATGCCGAGAACCCTAATTGATATTAGAGCTACGTAGCTTAAATCTGAAATTAAATATGGTATCAACTAAAAGTTTTTAAACAAGACGAAACGGTTAGCACGTAAAACCTATAAAAGACCGCGTAAATTTTCTTAAAAAAATCAAACGTTTTATACTTTCGTGTAACGTAACTATCATTTCACGGATATAAAAGGATAAAAAATTAAAAATTTAACCTCTAATTTTTTTCGACTTTTAAAGGTATAAAATAGAGATTATAGATTTTAAGGTCAGTAATATTTGCTTATAAAGTGGTTTATTTTACTTAAAAGTACTGTATAAGAAATACAAATTAATGAAGTTTAGTTGGTTTTCCTTCATTTACATCTTTTTAATAATTTTCATAAAATTTCAATCTTAGAACGTTGTGGGATAAAATTTTACACTTGATAAATATATTGTGGCGAAGCAATTGTTAATATTTATTAGATGAATCATGTTCCAACAAGGGTTTCAACAAGGATTTCAACAAGGGTTCCAACAAGGTAATAAATAAAACCAATTTAAAAGATTATGCGTTAGATTATACGTAATGAATTATTGTAATTGATTCTTTTTTGCTTTCGTCATATAGTTGTTTCATATGTGGCCGGAACATCAGTGCTTCGGCAGTATGATGTTGGGGATCAAATTGCTAGTGCAGGTTTATGGAAAATACATTCAGGTAAGAATAGCTTTCGTACCATTTCTTTTTGAAATCAATTCTGTTTTTTTATTAAATTTATCCTTTCATATTAACAGGAACTAAAAAGACAACTGGTCAAAAAGTAGCTATATTTGTAAGTTAAATTACTAGCCATAGAACTTTGTTGACGTCACAATACACCTTATAGAATTTAAAGCCCAAATATATTAATTAGTTTTTTTAAAATTTTTAAGATATTTGAAAAAAAGATTTTTGATAATACTTTGCTAAAGAGTTATGAAAAAAAAGAAACGGAAAAAGTTTATCAAGTTTTAAAGAGAGAGGTAATATATTTTGTTAAATGTCGCAGATCATAATGAAATCGGATTACCGCATTCTACCGTAAATAAGCACCATCCCCTCCACCCCATTTTTTTAAATGCCAGATTAGCGGGAATAATTTAGCTAAAGATTTTATTACGATTCCCGCTAATCTGACATTTAAAAAAATGGGGTAGAGGATAGTGCTTATTTACGGTAGAATATGGGTAAAATGAAATAAGAGGTTTCTATTTGACCCTCTAAACCCACTTATACTTGTTTATTATAAAACCTACCCTTAAACCATAATCCTAGCCCTAAAAAAATGCCCAAAAAATGCACTCCAAAAATTTGTATTTTTCGGTAGCTTGTCTATTTTATACTATCCCTCATTTCATTTAATCTGATTTAATTTTAATCTGCCACATTAAATATTCACAATTCATCATCTTAACCGTCTTTGATTCTTTTTTTAGGCTAGTCAGCTCGCAAGACTTCGTCATCCATCACTACTTGAAGTTGTTGAGGCAGTAGAAGAATCAAGAACTGTAATTACATTTGCAACAGAACCTATTTTAGCATCTCTTGCTAATTTACTTGGAAATACTGAAAATTTATCAATGGTTCCTGATGATATCAAAAACTTTGAACTGGATGAGTTAGAGGTATTTTAACGTGCTTTTTTTAAAAAAAAAATCCAAATATTTATTTATTTAAGCTGATTTTAAATTAATTTGGCCGTTTATATTAGATTCAGAAAGGCTTATTGCAAGTTGGCAAAGGCCTTCAATTTTGTCATAATGATGCAAAAATTGTTCACTCAAATCTCGTTCCAGAAGCCATATTTGTAAATATTAAGGTGTGTTATTTTTCAAGGGATTCTCATTTGTTAGAATTTTTTTTTTGAATGCTAGAGCTAACTTTATCATGACTACTTTTTTAGGGCGATTGGAAAATTGGAGGGTAATGAATCTATTATTTTAAGGACATGAATTAATTTTGTTTATATTTTTCCGACAATCTAACTTTATTATAACGCAATACAGTTTCGGATTTAGTACTTTTCTCAACAATCCGGATGTACGACCGGACTATGAATATCCTGATTATGATTCACGGATACCATGTTATGCTCAAAAAAATTATGATTATATGGGTAAATTTCACGAACTATTGCATATCTGACTCCTATTGTGGATATATGTTGATCAAAAAAATTTTTTATTCATTGTTGTGTAGCTCCAGAGTTTGTGTTAGATGAATCACTTGAATTTGCAAATGATATGTTTGCTCTTGGTTGTTTAATATACACAGTACATAGTCATGGAAGACCTCCAATGGAAAATCGCAATAGTATACATAATTATCGCAAGAATATTGAAAGGTTATCATCGACTAAGTATGACCATCTTCCTTATCATCTTCATGGTAACCTTTGAACAACTCTTTTTGGTTGTTTTTCTCTCTTTTTTCTTTTTTCCCTCCCTTTTCTTTCCTTTTTCCTCTTTGCTTGGTTTTTGTAGTCAACTTGCTTTTTAATAATTTAAATGTTAATGTTAAGTTTTATTTTATTTTCGAAGAGGTCATGTATCATTTGATAACTCGTTACCCATCACAGAGAATGACTGCTGCTGAGTTCCAGACAAGCAAATATTTTGATAATGTTCTTGTTTCCACTGTCAAATTTTTTGAAAGTTTTCCCGAAAAGACCAAGGATGACAAAATTAGTTTTATGAAAGGGCTAGTTCGAATATTACCCCAGTTTCCTGAAAGAGTTTTGTTACGCAAGGTATTAGAAGTTTTTTTTTAGCATAATAGTCATGGGAACATAAGAATACTGTTTTTAGTCTGCTAACACATATAATGTTTTTAAGATTTTACCATGCCTTCTTCAAGAAATTAAGGATCATAGTCTTTTACCCTATACTCTTCCTAATATTTTCTTTATCTCTCAAAAATTGTCATCTACTGATTTTTGTGAGAAAGTCCTTCGTCCCTTAAAGCCGATTTTTGTTGTTTCCGAGCCCGTGCAAAACTTAATCACATGTCTAGATCAGATGGAATTGTTTAAACAAAAAACATCATCTTCAGTTTTCAAGGATGGTATGTACTGATGGTGCCAATATCGTATCAATTTATATCACTTTTTTTTGTTACTTCTGATGGCCGATTATTCTGTTATTACAAATTCGACAGATGTAATGCCTTTAATTTATAATGCTTTGGAGGCAAAGTCACCTGTAATACAAGAAAAAGTCCTTAGAGTTATACCAACGATAGTAGATTCGCTAGACATTCTTACTATTAAATCATCTCTGTTTCCTAGAATACAGGTAGCTTAATTTATTTCATGAATAATATCATATGCATTAAAAAATATCAAAAATATTAATGTTTATTCATTCATGAATTGGGCTATTGATAGAATTTATTTGTTCATACAACAATATTGGCCGTCAAAGTTACAACATTAATTTGTTTACATTCACTAGTTAAATCACTAGACAGTGTAAGTTTTATGTTGTATATCGAAAATTACCCATTGTTTTATTGTTTATACAATTCGATTATTAAATCTATCTATTTATGATATCAAATAGTTCACTTTAACTGAAAAGTTGATGCCATTGTTAAGAGGTATCAAGACAAAAGAGCCATCTGTAATGGTAAATATCATCGGTTTAAGCAGATTTTTTCGTGGAATAAAAATGTTGAGATAACGTACTTATTTTCACCGGAATCGAGAATTCATGAAACAAGCTCGAATTAACTCGAAATTTCACGTTACATTCGTTCTTGTTTCAGATTATATGACGTAATTTCGACATTTTTCTTTCATTATTAAGATATTTGTCGTAATCATTGTATTCTTGGTAATTTTTGTTAATTTTTAAAACGTCAGATTACAACACTTGCTGTATATGATGAAATGGGAAAGCATGTTGAAAAGGATGTTATTGCTACAGAGATTTTACCACAGTTATGGAAAATGTCTGTAGTACCTACCCTTAATATGGACCAAGTATGTAACTAATATTCCTATTTCCGGTTCAATTTATTTAAACGTTCTGCTAAAAAATTATGATTTCATAGTTTCAGAAATTTATGAAGGCGATAAAATTATTGTCAACGAGGGTAGAAGAAGAACATTCTAAACAGCTTAGAGACATTAAGAATATCGAAGAACATACTAAAAAATATATCGAAGGAGGAAATGGTATAGTTAATTTAATTGTCATTCATTTAATTTCATCCATTTAATTTTAATCATCTAATTGTATTCATTTAAAACAATTTTATTTTCAGAAAAAAACAAGGATGAAGTTGGATCTTCAATTGATTTTGAGAAACTGGTTGGAGCTACGAGTGGAGTGACTAATAGCACTAATGGTGTTGTCAATGGACAAAGCAAGGTGCAAATGGAAATGCATCCAAATTCATTTACTTTAGAAACCATTAATTTGGTAAATTGATATTATAGTATTTATTTAAACATTGAAAATTCTCGTTTTTACTTAATCATAATTTTATTTTTAAAGGCATCCTCAAATAATTCAATGGCACCATTAAATGGAAGTATACAACCAGACATTTTCTCTTCAACTATACCAACAACTTCAACAGTACATTCTCAATCTCGAAATTCAATGAATTCAATGAATTCCTTGAATTCTTTGAATTCCTTTCCAAGTCCAATAAACAACATTCAACCTTCAAGCAATTTTAATTCGTTATCTCAACAACCAGTGAACGGCAATCTATCATCTCTTAACCACGCTCAGCAACTTTCTAACCAAAACACACATTCGTTCAATAATAATATTCCATCACTTCCTCCACCTAAAACTGGCACAACACAACGTCCTAATACACCGACAATGCCAACGCGCACTTCTAATATTACGTCAGACTTATTTAATACTATTCCAGGACCAAAATTTAGTTCTGGAGGTATACTTCAACCTGGAGGTATACTTCAACCTAATGTTATGAAGCCAACTAATAATAATTCAGGAAATCAAAAGATATCTCAGGCGGATTTAACAATGTTTGATCCATTTTCTAAGTCATGAGTATTTTATTTGTTAATACGTAGAATATTGATATCTTTTTATATATTAATTTTATTTTTGAAGGACTTATTATATTAGTGTATTTTATAATTCAATATTTTACAGGTTGGGTTGGGTTAATAATTTAAATGGATATAGAGGTGAATTAATTATTAAATAAAAAATATATAATATAGTTATTTGTTACCTGTTTATGGACTAAACGGCAGCGAACTTAAGTTCTGATTTTGTATAAATTAGTTCTTGTTATACGTATATATTCATATATTGTTTTAACGAACTCTGCTTTAACTATCTTCCTGAAAAAAAGTTTTTAAAAAATTAAGGAATAATGATTTCATGTATCTTAATCTTATTATATTATTATGTAATAAAAAAAAATTCGCAAAATCAAGCGACGGTTTGTCACGTTTTACCGTATTAAACCAGCCCGGGAAATTATTTTAGAATGAGTTGTGAAGTTATGGTTTTTATTTTATTTTATTTTATTTTATTTTTTATTTTATTTTATTTTTTATTTTATTTTATATTATTTATTTTATTTTATTTTATTTTATTATTTTTTATTTTATTTTATTTTTTTTGATTTTTTATTTTATTTTATTTTATTTTATTTTATTTTATTTTATTTCATTTTATTTTTTATTTTATTTTATTTTATTTTTTATTTTTTTTTATTGTATTTTTTATTTTTTTTATTTTACTTTATTTTATTTTTAAGCGACCTCAATGGTCTTGTATACTTTTATTAATTGTATTAATCGTACAGGTTTATATTACAAGATCTTAGGACTACTTTATCCCTGAGGTAAGCTTAGCCTAATCGGAGTATTCCCATTATAGTTCTATCAGATACAACCCAACCAAATCTATCTATATAGTTTGCCCGCATCTCTTATACTTCAACTGGTCTACTCCCAAACAGGTACTGGGGTTACCCAAGGTTTCATAATCATTTTCTTTCGAGATATACTTTCTTATTTGGTGATGGGATGGATTCTAGCCTCATAGCAACTGCCAGTTCTGCACTGTTCTGCATCACTCGACTGTGTATTAGCCTTTAACTCATCAACTTTCAGACCTCAAATGCATCCCTTAACATATTATCACTTTTATATGTAGTATTACTATCCCATTGGAGATTTCTGTGTGTTGGTAAGGTATGGGTTATGTTGCATAACAGTAGTTAATTCCAACCAGGTTTATAATATTTGATTATTTTTAGCTTTCATCAGAATTGGTTGGTGTTTAATGTTGGTGTATTCTTATAATATTATTTATATTTGTTTATATTTTAAGATACTACCAGTCTGGTGTTTTTAGCTGTTTTCAAATTTTTATATATTTTCAGTCTAATAATCAACTTTTTTATAAATATTGATTTTTTATTTTTGGTTTTATTTTGCATATACTGTAGATATCAAAGGTGTTTTTTAAATTTAATAAAATCAATTCTTTATCACAAACTATTTTTGTATTTATAGTTTTTTACTATTTTAGCTTTAGCTATTATTATATTATTTTTTAATTAAATTCTATATTAGTAATTTTTGTTTAAAATTTAAATATATAATTTAATAATTATTTTTTTAATTAAATATTTTACAAGTTAATGGTTTGGATTTACACCTTTGTACAGTCTTCTCTCTTTATAATCGCCTCCTATATAATCACTTCATATAAAAACCTTTTTATAATCACACCTCTATTTGAGTCTAATTACTATTTAATATACTGTCAACTATCGATATAACAGACACTTTTAGACCGGAATCACCAGTTTAACGGACTAATTACAAGGTACAGAATTTTTTATATATAATTTAAACCGTTATAACAGATTTAAT